GGCCACTGCACTCCAGTCTGGGCGACAGAGTGTGACTCCAACTCAAAAAAAAAAATTGCCCAATTTTATCATTATGTCTTGGCCACGTCTCATAAAGCAGGGCACTTTAACAGCCCCTTTCTCAGCTCCCAATCTTTCTTTGTATTATTCAGTGGGATGTTCTGCCCAGGTTGGCTGCATGATATGCATCATCATAAGTGAGTGTATGGTTGAGATTGGGAGTCATAACCCATGATTCACAACTCATTGAGGGTCACCATGAAGGATGAGAGTCCTTGGTCAGTGAGCCAAGCTGATCCCAAACAAATCTGTGTAGTTTATCTCTGAAGACCTGGGAGAGGCTGGATTAAAAAGAGCTTCGAGAAGCTCTTAGCCTACTGTTAGATGAGCCCTAACTGCCTTGTCCAAATGCAGGGAGAGTGGGTTTTGTCCTGCTCCACAGAAACAAGAGAGCCAAGCTCCTTGAGACATAGTAAAGGTTTCTTTGGCTTAAGTTGGGTATGGCCATGTCCTCTGCTGGACAACTTCTTAGGACTTAAGGGAGCTTGGAATGGCAGCACAAGGCAGACAAAGTCTGCCAGACCCATAGTGAGAGGAAGAAAATAGTCAGAAAAAGATGTTCCATGTTCTTTTGAAACCACCATCTCTCTTGAGAATTCAAGATGTGAAAGTTCACTCATTTCCAACAGCGGGCAGGATTCCCCATTACCAACATAGGCCACGAAACACAATTTTTTGACATTCAGGACCACTTTCCAACCTGATATTTGTGGTGACATACATGTAAACTATCACCCAGTACTCTTTGTGTATGTGAATCCTGGCCCTAGAGGACCATCAATCTTCATTCTACAAGGCAGGCCCCACATGATGAGGTAACTCATCCTCGCGATTTCTTGAAGAATCGCTTATGTGAGGCAGCTTCCCTATGGAAGTGCCAGATTTCTTGTTAACACAGTCTGCTTTTCTCCTTTTCAAAAACATCCTGGCCTCAGAGAGGGTCTTGTGAATAATCTGTGGCCCCAGAACAAAGAGATCAGCCTAGTTCCTGACCTCAAATCGACTGCAAGTCAAATACTCTCCAGAGCTCTGGTCTCCTGTGTTTGCCTGTGGTGAGAATATGGGCATCATTTAAATGGACATGGAGAAGGTGAATCCCTGGGTTGGGTCAATGATGAGAACTTTATATTGTCTGAAGAGTGATGATGACTTAAAAATCATGCTCAATAGGATTATGCTGAGGCCAAGACCAGGTGAAAATTGTGGAAACCAACGTGGGAATGATGATGGCCCTGGAAGGGCCATTTTCTCTAGGCTGGAAAACTCCAAGTCCTGGAGGTCATCTTGAGGTGCCCAAATCTGTGGATGCCCTTCTCCACAAATTGCCCAATTTTATCATTATATCTTGGCCCCTTCCCAAGAAGCAGGGCACTTTAGAAGTCCCTTCCTTAGCTCCCAATCTGTCTTTGTGTCTTTCAGTTGAATATTCTGCCCACATTGTCTCCATGGCATGCAGCATCATAGGTGAGTGCATGGCTGGGATTGGGAGTCATGACCCATGATTCACAAGTTGCTGAGGGTCACCCTGAGTGATGAGAGTTCTTCGTGATGGAGCCAAGCTGAATCCCAACCAAATATGTGTAGTTTTTCACTCAAGACCTGGGTGAGGCTACATAAAAAAGAGCTGTGAGATGCTCTTGGCCTGCTGTTAGATAACCCAAAGTGTCTTGTCAAAATGTAGGATTAAGTGGGGGTTTTTTTGGTCTGCTGTAACAGCAGATCCTGGCTCTTTGAAATGTATTAAAGGTTCCTTTGGCTCAAGTTGTGCATGGCCATGGCCTCTGAGGATTTAGGGTTCTTGGAATGATGACACAAAGCAAGGAAAGTCTGGTGGACCCTTGTTCAGAGGGGGCACAAAAGTCACAAAAAGATGTGCCATGATCTTTTGAAACCAGCATCTTTACTGAGAACTCAAGAATTGAGAACTCACTTATTACAACCACCAGGCAAGATTTCCTCATTCCCAACATTGGCCAAGTAGCCCAATTTTTAACACTGGGAACCACTTTCCAATTTGAGATTTATAGGACACACATCCAAACTTTATCACCCAGTACTCTGTCTGTGCTGTGGTCCCTGGCACTGGGGGACCATCAGTCTTCAGCCAAAGGACAGTTCCCATGTGAACAGGTATTGCATCCCAACGTTTGGTAGAGGAAAGGCTTCTGTGAGGCAGGATACCTGTGGAAGTGCCAGATTTCTTGTTGACATGCCCTTTTTGACCCAGATTCCAGGCTCAGAGAAGGTCTTGGGGATAAGTTGCTGTCCCCAGGACAAAGGGTTTCAGCAATGTTTTTGGCCCTGAATGCTCTGAAAGTCAAATACTCTCCAGGACACTGTGTGTTGACCTGTAGTGAGCATATGGGTGTCCTTTAAATGGATGCAGTGATGCCGGATCCCTGGGTGGTGGTCAGTGTAGAGAACTTTATATTGTCTTGAAGAGAGGTAATGACTTAAAAGTCACGATCAATAGAATTGCGCTGATGTCCAGGCTAAGTGATAATTGTGGAAACTGATGTGGGGATGGTGATGGCCTCAGCAGGGTGTTTTGGGTTGGAGAATTCCAAGTTCTGGAGGCCTTCTTAGGGTTCCCAACATTGTGGATGCACTCCACAAAAAGGTCAATTCTACTGATATGTCGTGGCTCTCTTCCCAAGAAATAGGGAACTTTAGCAGTCCCTTGCTTAGCACTCAATCCCTCTTTGTGTCTTTCAGTGGTATGTTCTTCTCAGGTTGTCTTCATGGCACACACCATCATATATGACAGCATGGCTGCGACTGGGAGTCACCAAGAGAGATGGGAATTCTGGTCATGGAGCCAAGCTGAATCCTGACCAAATATGCTTAGTTTTTCTTTCATAACCTGGGTGAGGCTGGATAAAAAGAGCTTTGAGATTCTCTCAATCTGCTGTTAGATGAGACCCAAATGTCTTGTCCAAAAGCAGTGAGAAGTGGGTTTTGTCCTGGTCTACAGAAACAAGAGAGTCAGGCTCATTGAAACATTGTAAAGGTTCCTTTGGCTCAAGTTGTGCATGGCCAGGGCCTCTGGTGATCATATTCTGAGGAATCAAGGAACTTGGAGTGGTAGCTGAAATCAAAAAGAGTCATCCACACCCAAATGTTAGGGTCACAAAAGTCGGAAAAAATGTGCCGTGCGCTATTGAAACCACCATCTCTCTTGAGAATTCAAAATGTGGGAACACACTCATTACCACCAGCAGGCGGGATTCCCCCCTTCCAACATTGACTAAGAAATCCATTTTTTAACACTGAGGACCACTTTTCAACCAGTGATTTGAGGGAACAAACATCCAAACTATGTTACCCAGTACCCTGTCTGTGCTGTGCCTCAGAGCCCTTGGGAATAATCAGTCTTCAGCCTACAGGAAGGGTGCCACGTGACCAGGTATTTCTTTCCATCATTTTGTGGGAAGAAATGCTTATATGAGGAAACATTCTTGTGGATTTCTTGTTGATACAATCTGTTTTCTTCCTTTTCATGCGGATCCTGGCTGGAGAGGTCATAGGACTAAGCTGCTGCCCACAGGACAAAGGGTTTCAGACAGGTGCCTGGCTTCAAATCCTCTGAAAGTCAATTACTCTCTAGAACTCTGGTCTCCTGTGTTGACATGTGATGGGCATATGGGCATCCTTAAAATGGACGCAAAAGAGGTGGATCCCAGGACTATGTCAATGAGAACTTTTCATTGTCTGAAGAGAGGTGATGACTTAAACATTATGCATAATAGGATTACACTGAGGCCCAGCCTAGGTGACAATTTTGGAAACTGATGTGGGGGTGTGGATGGCCCTGGCAGAACTATTGTCCTTGGGCCAGAGAACTCTAAGCACTGGAGGGCATCTTATGGTGCCCAACCCTGTGGATGCATTCTTCCATGAAATTGCCCAATTTTATTGTTATGCCTTTGCCCCTTCACAAGAAGAAGGGCACTTTAATAGCCCTTTGTTAACTCTCAATCTTGCTTTGTGTCTTTCAGAGGAATGTTCTGCCCAGGTGTTTCCATGACTCACACCATCATAGGTGAGTGCATGCCTAGGATTGATAATCATGACCCATGATTAACAAGTCCATCATCACCATGATGAATGGAAGTTCTTGGTGACATAGGCAAGCTGAATCCCAACCAATATGTATAGTATTTCTTTTAAGAACTGAGTGAGGCTGTATAAAAAAGAACTTTGAGATGCTCTCAACCTGCTGTTAGGTGAGCTCCAAATGCCTTGTCAAAACACAGAGAAGTGTGTTTTGTCCTGCTCTACAAAAACCAAAGAGCCAGGTTCATTGAAACGTACTAAAAATTTCTTTGGCTCAAGTTATGCATGGCTTTAGCCTCTGCTGGGCATCTTCTGATGACTTGGGGAACTTGGAATGTTGGCACAGAGGAAAGAGAGTCTGCCATACCCATAGTGAGAGTGGGCACAAAAGTCAGAAAAAGGCATGTCATGTTCTTTTGAAACCACTATCTCTCTTGAGAACTCAAGACGTGAGAACACACTCATTAAAACCAGTGGTAGGATTCCCCCTTTACCAACATTGGCCATGAAACCCAATTTTTGACACCGGGTATCACTTTCCAACCTGAGAACAAGGAAACATACATACAAATGGTATCACACAGTGTTCTGTCTGTGCTTGACTCCTGGCCTAGGACCATCAGTCTTCAGCTTACTTAACAGGTCCCACGTGACCAGGTATCTCATCCAGTTTTTTGTGGAAGAAACACCTGTGTGAGGCAACATTCCTAGGGAAGTGCCAGATTGCTTATTGACTAGTTATTTTCCTTCTTTTCATGCAGATCCTGGCCTCAGAGAAGGTCTTGGTAATAAGCTGCTGTCCATGTGACAAAGGGTTGCAGTCAGGTGCCTGGCTGCAAGTATGCTAAAATACAAAAATTCTCCAGAATTCTGGTCCCCTATGTTGATTTGTGGTGACCATATGGGCATACTTGAAATGGATGCAGGGATGGTGGATCCCTGGGTTGGGTCAATGATGAGAACTTTATATTGTCTGAAGAGAGGTGATGACATAATAATCATGCTCAATAGGAATACGCTCTGACCTAGCCTAGGTGACAATTGTGGAAACCGATGTAGGGATAGTGATTGCTCTTGCAGGGCTATTGTCTTTGCGCTGGAAACTCTAAGTCCTGGATGCCACCTAGGCATGCCTAACCCTGTGGATGCACTCCTCCATGAAATTGCCCAATTTTATGATTATGTTTTGGTCCCTTCCTAAAAAACAGAGCACTTTAGCAGCACCTTTCTTAACTCCCAATCTCTCTTTGTATCTTTCAGTGAACTGTTCTGCCCTGGTTAACTCCATGACATGCACCTCATAGGTGAGTGCATGAGTGGGATTGGGTGTTATGATTCATGATTCACAAATCACTGAGGGTCATCATATTGGATAGGAGTTCTTGGTCATGAAGGCAAGCTGAATACCAATAATATGTATAGTTTTTCTCTCAAGACCTGGGTGAGGCTAGATAAGAAAGAGCTTTGAAATGCTCTAGGCCTACTGTTAGATGAGCCACAAGTACCTTGTCCAAACTCAAGAAGTGGACTGTGTTGAGCTCTAAGGAAACTGGAGAGGCTGACTTATTGAAACATACTAAATGTACCATTGGCTCAAGTTGTACATGACCATGGCCTCAGCTGGGCATCTTCTGAGGTCTCAGGGAGCATGAAATGGTGATACAAAGAAAGAAGAGTCTGGCAGACCCATCTTGAGAGAGGGCAGAAAAGTCAGAAAAAGATGAGCCATTCTCTTTTGAAACTAGCATTTCATTTGAGAATTCAAGAAGTAAGAACTCATTGATTACAAGCCACAGCAGGTGAGATTTCCCCATTGTAAACATTGGCCAAGAAACACAATTTTTACACTGGGATCACTTTCCAAATTGAGATTTGTAAGGACACACATCCAAAGTGTGTCACCCAGTATCCTGTCTGTGCTGTGAGTTGTGGCTCCTGGCTCTAAGAAACCATCAGTCTTCAACCTGAAGGACACGTCCCACATGAACAGGTGTCTCATCCCATCATTTTGTGGAGAAAAGGCTTGTGTGAGGCAGCATCCCTGTGGAAGTGCCAGTTTTCTTGTTGATGTGCCTTTTATTTTCTTTTTCTCCTGGTTCCTGGCCTCAAAGAAGGTCTTAGAAATAAGCTGCTGTCCCTAGGACAAAGGGTTTCAGTCAGGTGCCTGGCCTGTAATCCTCTTAAAATCAAATACTCTCCAGATAACTGTGGTAAGCATATGGGTGTCCTTCAAATGGATGTAGAAATGAAGGATTTCTGGGTTGGGTCTTTGATGAGAACTTTATATTGTCTTAAAGAGAGGTGATGACATAAAAATTGTGCTCAATAGTATTATGCTGAGCCCAGGGGCAGGTGACAGTTGTGGACTGAAGTGAGGATGAGAATGGCCCTGGCAGGGCTATTGGGTTTGGGATTGGAGAACTCCAAGCCATAGAGGCCATGTTGAGATGCACAACCCTGTGGAAGCGCTCCTCCACATATTTGTCCAATGTTATCCTTATGTCTTGACTCTTTTCCTGGGAAGCAGGGCACTTTGGCAGTCACTTGTTTAGCACCCAATCTCTCTTTGTGTCTTTCAATGGAATGTTCTGCCCAGGTTGACTCCATGGTACACACCATCATAGCTGAGTGCATGGCTGTGATTGACTGTCATTACCCATGATTCACAAATCACTGAGAGTGATCATAAAAAGTAGGAGTTCTTGATTATGAAGATAAGCTTATCCCAACCAATATGTGTAGTTTTTCTCTCAAGACCTGGGTGAGGCTGGAATAAAAAGAGCTTTGAAATGCTCTCAGCCTGCTGTTTGATGAACCCCAAGTGACTTGTCTAAATGCAGGGAGAAATAGGTTTTGTCTTGCTATACAGAAACAAGAAAATCAGGCTCATTAAAACATGATAAATATTTCTATGACTCAAGTTGTAAGTGACCATGGCCTCTGCTGGACATCTTCTGAAGGCTCAAAAAACTTGGAATAGTGACACAAAGCAAAGGGAGTTCACTGGACCCAAGATGAGAGGGGGCACAAAAGTCAGAAAAAGACATGTCATGCTCATTGGAAAATACCATCTCTCTTGGGAACTCAAGCTGTGAGAGCACACTCATTAAGAACAGCAGGAAAAATTCTCCCATTACCAACATTGGCCACGAAACCCAATTTTTGACACTGGAGACCACTTTCCAACCTGAGATCTGAGGGAACGTACATCCAAGCTGTTCAGTACCCTGTCTGTACTTGACTCCTGACCCTGGGGGATCATCAATCTTTAGCCTACAGGGCAGGTTGCACATGACCATGTATCTCCCTCCAGCATTTTGTGGAGGAAATGCTTCTGTGAGGCAGCATCCCTATGGAAGTGCTGAATTGCTTGTTGACATGCCCTGTCTTTCTCCTTTTCATGCAGATCTTGGTGTCAGAGAAGATCTTGGGAAAATGCTGCTGCCCCTGGGATAAAGGGTTTCAGCCAGGAGCCTGGTCTTGAGTCCAAAAAAGTAAAATACTCTTCAGAACTCTGGTCCCTGTGTTGACTTGTGGTGAGCATATGGACGTCCTTGAAATGGAGGGGTGGAAGGTGGATCCTAGCTTGGGTCAATGATGAGATTTTTATATCGGCTGAAGAGAGGTGATGACTTAATAATCATGCTCGCCCGTGGGTTTGAGACCCGCCTGGACAACTTGACGAGACCTCATCTCTACAATAAATCAAAAATTAGCCAGGTGTGGTAGCACATGCCTGTAGTTCCAGCTACTTGGAAGGCTGAGGCAGAAGGATCGCTGGATCCCAGCAGGTTGAGGCTGCAGTGGCCAGTAACAGCCACTGCACTCCAGTCTGGGCGACAGAGTGGGACTCCAACTAAAAACAACAACAACAAAAAAACCATGCTCAATAGGATTACACTTAGGCCCAGATTAGGTGGCAATTGTGGAAAACAGCGTGAGGATTATGATGGCCCTAGCATGGCTATTGTCTTTGGGCTGGAGAACGCTGAGCCTTGGAGGACATCATGGGGTGCCCAACTATGTGGATGCTCTCCTTCATGAAATAGTCAAATTCATAAGTTACAGAGGGCCACCAGAGGACTGGAAATTCTTAGTCATGGAGCCAAACTGAACCCCGACCAAATATGTGTATCTTTTCTCTCGAAATCTGGGTAAGATTTGATGAAAAAGAGCCTTGAGATACTCCTAGCCTGCTGTTAGATGTGGCCTATGTGTCTCATCCAAACGCAAGCAGAACTGGGTTTTGTTGAGCTCTACAGAAACAGGAAAGCCTGGCTCATTGAAACACACTAAAGGTTTCTTTGGCTCAAGTTGTGCCTGACCATGGCCTCAACTTGGAATTTCTGAGATCTCAGGAAGTGTGGAAAGGTGACAAAAAGAAAGAGTCTGCCAGATCTATTTTGAGAGGGGGCACAAAAGTTAGAAAAAATGAGTCATGCTCTTTTGAAACCAGCATCTCTCTTGAGAACTCAAGAATTGAGAACTCATTCATTGCAATCAGTATTGCAATCATTGACCAAGTAACCCAATTTTTATATTGGGTACCACTTTCCAAATTGAGATATGAGAGGATACACATCCAAAATGTAAAGCCTAGTATTCTCTCTGTGTTGAGAGCTGTGGTTCCTGGCCCTGTTGAACCATCATCTTCAACCCGAAGGACAGGTCCCAGATGAACAGGTATCTCATCTTATAGTTTTGTAGAGGACAGGCTTGAGTGAGTCATTATCCCTGTTGAAATGCTAGTTTTCTTGTGGACATGCCCTTTTTTCCTTCTTTTCTCCCAGATCCTGACCTTGGAAAAAATCTTGGGAATAAACTGCTTTCCTGGGACAAATGGTTTCAGTCAGGTGTTTGACCTCGAATCTTCTGATAATCAAATATTCTCCAGAGGAATGGAAATTGTGAGCTTATGAGCAGTCTTCAGATGGATGGTGGGATGGCAGATCCCTGGGTTGGGTCAATAATGAGAACTTTATATTGTTTTGAAAGGAGGTGATGACTTCAAAATCATGCCCAATAGGATTATGCTGAGGCCCAGGCAAGGATACAGTTGTGGAAACCAACATGGTGATGATGATAGCCCCTGGCAGTTCTACTGTGTTTGGTGCTGGAGAATCCAAGACCTGGAGGCCATCTTGGAGTGCACAACTATGTGGATGTGCTCCTCCAAGTAATTGCCCAATGTTATTCTTATACCTTGGCCATCTTCCTGAGAGTGGGGCACTTTACCAACAACTTGCCTAGCACCCAAACTCTCTTTGTGTCTTTCAGTGGAAAGTTCTGCTCAGAGTGGCACCATTGCATGCACCATCATAGGTGAGTGAATTATTGTGATTAGTTGTCATGACCCATGGTTCACAAATCACTAAGGACCAACATAATAATTAGGAGTTCTTGCTCATGGGAGCAAGTTGCATCTTGACCAATACATGTAATTTTTCTCTCAAGACCTGGGCGAAACTGGTCAAAATAGAACTTTGGGATGCTCTCAGCCTGCTGTTAGATGAGCCCCAAGTGCCTTTTCTCAATGCAGGGAGAAGTGGGTTTTGTCCTGCTCTACAGAAACAAGAGAATCAAGCTCATTGAAACATAATACAGATTCTTTAACTCAAGTTGTGAATGACCATAGCCTCTGCTGGGTATTTTCTGAGGATGCAGGGAACCTGGATTGGTGAAACTAAGCAAAGAGATTCCACCAGATCCATGGTAAGTGGGGACACAAAAGTCAGAAAAGAACATGGCATGCTTTTTGGAAACTCACCATCTGTCTTGAGGCAAAGGATGCTGGTCCCTCAGGGCAAGGAGCCACAGTTCTCAGCACAGACAGGATATTGGGTGATACACTTTGGATGTGTTTCCTTTCATAGCTCAATTTGGAAAGTGGTCCCCAGTATAAAAATTGCTTTACTTGGTCAATGTTTGTAATGGGATAATCCTGCCTGCGTCTTGTAATGAGTGAGCTCTCAATTCTTGAGTTCTCAAGAGAGATGCTGGCTTCAAAAGAGCATGACTCATTTTTTTTCTAACTGTTGTGCCCCCTTTCAAAATTGATCTGGCAGACTCACCTTTCTTTGTGTCACCTTTCCACATTCCCTGAGATCTCAGAAGATGCCAAGTTGAGGCCATGGTCAGGCACAACTTGAGCCAAAGAAACCTTTAGTGTGTTTCAATGATCTAGGCTTTCTTGTTTCTGTAGAGCTCAGCAAAACTCACTTCTCCTTGCGTTTGCACGACACTTGGGCCTCATCTAACAGCAGGGTAAGAGCATCTCAAGGCTCTTTTTCATCAGCCCTTACTTGGGTTTTAAGAGAAAAGGTACACATATTTGGTTGGGGTTCAGTTTGGCTCCTTGACTAAGAATTTCCATTCTTCTGGTGGTCCTTGTAGACCTGTGATGAGATTATGAGTGGCCTTCAAATAGGTGATGGGATGGCAGATCCCTGGGTTGGGTCAATGATGAGAACTTTGTATTGCCTTTAATGGAGGTGATGACTTAAAAATCATGCTCAATAACATTATGCTGCCCCAGGCAATGAGACAGTAGTGGAAAAGAACAAGGAGGTGATGATGGCCCCAACAGTTCAATTGTGTTTTGTGCTGGAGAACTCCAAGGCCTGGAGGCCATATTGGTGTGCATAACCATGTGGTGCACTTCTCCATGAAATTGTCCAATGTTATACTTATACCTTGGCCCTCTTCCCAAGAGTGGGGCACTTTAGCAACCTCTTGCTTAGCACACAATCTTTCATTGTGTCTTTCAGTGGAAAGTTCTGCTTGGAGTGGCTCCATGGCATGCACCATCATAGGTGAAAGCATAGTTGTGATTGGTTGTCATGACATATGATTTACAATTCACAGAGGGTCATCATAACAATTAGGAACTATTGGTCACTGAGGAAAGTTGAATCTTGATGAATATGTGTAGTTTATCTCTTAAGACCTGGGTGAAACAGGACAAAAAAGAGATTTTTAAATGTTCTTTGTCTGCTGTTAGATGAGTCCTGAGTACTTTGTCTAAATGCAAGGAGAAGTGAGTTTTGGCCCACTCTACAGAAACAAGGAATCAAGTTCATTGAAATTTAATTAAGGTTTATATGACTCAAGTTAAATGACCAAGGCCTCTGTTAGGCATCTTCTGAGGACTCAGAGAGCTTGGAATGGTGGCACAAAGCAAAGAGAGTCCACTGGACCCATGATGAGAGGGGGCACAAAAGTCAAACAGGACATTCCATTCTTCTTTGAAACCACCATCTCTCTTGAAATCTCAAGATGTGAGAACATGCTCCTTAACACCCACTGGCAGAGTTCCCCCATTACCAACATTGGTCAAGAACCTCAATTTTTGACACTGGAGACCACTTTCCAAGCTTAGATATGAAGGAAAGCACATCCAGGTTGTATAACCAAGTACCCTATCTTTACTTAGCTCCTGGCCCTGGTGGATCATCAGTCTTCAGCCTATAGGACAGATTCCATGTGACAAGGTATCTCATCCCATTGCTTTGTGGAGGAAACCCTTGTGTGAGGCAGCATCCCTAAGGAAGTGCCAGATTGCTTGTAGACATGCCCTGTCTTCCTCCTTTTCATGCAGATCTGTCCTCAGAGAAAATCTTGGAAATAAGCTTCAACCCTGTGACAAAGTGTTTCAGCCAGGTGCCTGGCCTCCAGTCCACTGAAAGTCAGTCTTCAGAACTCTTGTCTCCTATCTTCACTTGCGGTGAGCATTTGGGCATCCTTGAAAGGATGTGGGGAAAGTGAATCCCTGACTTGGGTCAATGATGACATCTTTATATTGTCTGAAGTAAGGTGGTGACTTAAAAATCATGCTCAGTAGGATTATGCTGAGGCTCAACTTTAGGTGACAATTGTGGAGACCGATGTGGGGATGATGATGGCCCTGTTATGGCTATTGTCTTTGGGTTGGAGAACTCTAAGCCTTGGAGGACATCTGGGGGTGCCCAACCCTGTGGATGCATTCCTCCACAAAATTGTCCAATTTGATTGTTTTGTCTTGACCCCTTTCCCAAAAGCAGGGCATTTTATCAGCCTCTTCCTTAGCTCCCATTCTATCTTTGTGTCTTTCAGTGGAATGTTCTGCCAACATTGGTTCCATGGTACGCACCATCATAGGTAAGTGACTCGAAATTCATAAGTTACAGAGGGCCACCTGAGGGATGGGATACTTAGTCATGGAGTCAATCTGAACCCAAGGAAATATTGTACTTTTTTTTCTCAAGGCCTGGGTGAGGCTGGAGAGAGAAGAGCCTTGAGACACTCTCAAGCTGCTGTTAAATGTGCCCCAAGTGACTCCTCCAAAAGCCAGGAGAAGTGGTTTTTGTCGAGCGTGACAGAAACTGGACAGCCAGGCTCATGGAAACATATTAAATGTTTCTTTCACTCAAGTTATGCATGGTCTTGGCCTCAACTGGGCATCTTCTGAGGTATGAGGGAGCATGGAATGGTGACACAAAGAAAGAAGAGTCTGCCAGGGTCATGTTGAGAGGGGACACAAAAGTCAGGACAAAATATGCATCCTTTTTTAAAATCTCTCTTGAGAACTCAAGGAGTGAGAACCCACTGATTACAAGCAGCAGGTGAGATTCCCCCATTCCAAACATTGGCCAAGAAACCCAATTTTTACTCTACTGACTACTTTCAAAATTGAGATCTGAAAGGATACACATCCAAAGTGTATCACATTGTACCCTGTCTGTTCTGTGTTCTGTGTCTCCCGGTCCTGGGGGACAATTAGTCTTTACCTGAAAAAAGAAGAACCATCTAAACAGGTATCTCATCCCATTGTTTTATGAAGGAAAGGCTTGTGGGAGGCAAGTATCAGTTTATGTTGACACATCCATTATTGCTCCTTTTCTCCCAGATCCTGGCCTGGGAGAAGGTCTTGAAAATAAGCTGCTGCTCTCGGGTCAAAAGGTTTCAACCAGGTACCTGGGTCAAATCCTCTGAAAAATCAAATAATCTTCAGAACGTTGGTCCTTGTTGACTTGTGTTGAGCATATGGGCATCCCAGAAATGGATGTGGGGATGGCGAATCCTTGTGTTGGGTCAATGATGAGCACTTTATATTGTCTTGAAGAGAGGTGATCACTTAAAAATCATGCTCAATAGGATTATGCTGAGGCCCAGGCTAAGAGACAGTTGTAGAAACCAACATGAAAATGATGAAAGCCCTGGCAGAACTATTGTGTTTGGTGCTGGAGAACTCCAAGCTCCATAGGCCATCTTGGGATGTACAACCATATAGATGTGCTCCTCCATGAAATTGCCCAATATTATCCTTATATCTTGGCCCTCTTCACGAGGGTAGGGCACTGTGGCAGCCCTTAGGTTAGCACCCAATCTCACTTTGTGTCTTTCAGTGAAAAGTTCTGTTCATGGTGGCTATGTGGCATGCATCAGCATAAGTGAATGCATGGCTGTGACTGGTAGTCATGACTCATGATTCACAAGTCACTGAGGGTCATCATAACAATTAGAACTTCTTGCTCATGGAGGCACCTGAACCTTGACAAATGTGTGCAGTTTTTCTCTCAAGACCTGAGTGAAGCTGGACAGAAAGGAGCTTTGAGGTGCTCTCAGCCTGCTGTTAGATGAGCTCCAAGTGCTCTGTCTGATGCAGGGAGAAGTGAGTTTCTTCCTGCTGTACAGAAACAAGAGATAAAGCTCATTGAAACATAATAAATATTTATTTTTCTCAAGTTGTGCATGGCCATGGCCTTTGCCCGGCATCTTCTGAGGACTCAGGGAGCATGAAATGGGGGCACAAAGCAAAGAGAGGTCACCAGACCCATGGTGATTGGGGGAACACAAGTCAGAAATGGACGTGCCATGCTTTTTTGAAACCACCATCTCTCTTGAGAACTCAAGATGTGAGAACACACTCATATAAACTTGCTGACAGAATTCCTCCATTACCAACATTAGCCAGGAAACCCACTTTTTAACACTGGAGACCACTTTTCAACCTAACATTTGAAGGGTAGAAGGTCCAAGCTGTATCACCAAGTACCTTGTCTGGACTTGGCTCCTGGCCTTGGAGGACTATCAGTCTTCAGCCTACAGGTATCTCATTTCATCATTTTGTGGAGTAAATGCTTGTGTGAGGCAGCATCCTAAGGGAACTGCCAGACAGGTTGTTTATATAACCTGTATTTCTTTTTCACACAGATCCTGGTTTTGTAGAACATCTTGTGAATTAGCTTCAGCCTCTGGGACAAAGGATGTCAACCAGGTGCCTGGCCTTGAGACTGCTGAAAGTCTGATGGTCTCCAGAACCCTTGTTTCCTCTTTTGTTTTGTGGTGAGCTTATGGGGGTCTTTGAAATTGGTGTGGAGAGGGTGGATGTGTAGCTTGGGTAAATGATTATCTTTATATTGTTTGAAGAGAGGTGATGACTTAAAATGATGCTCAGTAGGATTACACTGAGGTCCAGCTTAGGTGATAATTGTGGAAATCGACGTGGGGATGATGATGACCCTGGTATGGTTATTATATTTGGACTGGAGAACTCTAAGACTTGGAGACCATCTTGGGGTACCCAGCCCTGTGGATGGACTCCTCCATGAAATTACCCAATTTGATCATTATGTCTTGACACTTTTCCTAAAAGCAGGGTATATTTGCAAATTCTTCCTTAGCTCCCATTCTCTCAGTGTTTTTCAGTGGAATGTTCTGCCCACGTTGGCTTTATGGCATGGACCACCATAGGTGGGTACATGACTGGGATTAGGCATCATGACCCATGATTCATAAGTTATTGAGGGTCACCTGAGTGATGGGAGTTCTTAGTCCCGGAGCCAAACTGATGCCTGACCAAATATGTGTACCTTTTCTCTCAAGGCCTGGGTGAGGCTGGAGAAAAAAGAGTCTTGAGATGCTCTCAGCCTACTGTTAGATAAGCCCCAAGAGTCTCCACCAAATGGAGAAGTGGGTTTTGTTGAGCATGAGAGAAACTGGATGGCCAGGCTCATGGAAACATACTACTGGTTTCTTTGGCTGAAGTTATGCCTGGCCATGGCCTCAGCTGGGTATCTTCTGAGGTCTCAGAGAGTGTGAATTGTTGGCACAAAGAAAGGATAGTCTGGCAAAACCATGTTGAGAGGAGACACAAAGGTCAGAAAAAGATGTGCCCTCCTTTTTGAAATCAGCATCTCTCTTGAGAACTCAAGAAGAGAGAACTCACTGAATAGACGCAGCAGGTGATTTCCCCATTCCAAACATTGGTCATGAAAGCCAATTTTTACACTGCACATCACTTGCCAAATTGAGATATGAAAGGACTCTCATCCAAAGTGTATCATCCTGTATCATGTCTTTGCTGTGTTCTGTGGCTCCTAGTCCTTGGGGACCGCCAGTCTTCAACTGAAAAAATAGGTCCTGCCTGAACAGATATCTCATCTGGTCACTTTTGGAGGAAAGAATAGTGAGAGGCAGCATCCATGTGGAAGTATCAGTTTTCATGCTGAAACACTCTTTATGGCTCCTTGTCTCCCTGATCCTGGCCTGGGAGAAGGTCTTGGAAATAAACTGATGTCCTCAGGACAAAGGGTTTCAGCCAGGTGCCTGGCCTCAAATCCTCTGAAAATCAAATACTCTCCAGAAGGCTGGGTCTTGTTGACTTGTAGTGAGTATATGGGGATGGAAGATCCTTTGGTTGGGTCAATGATAAGGACTTCATATTGTCTTGAAGAGAAGTGATGACTTAAAAATCATGTTCGGTGGGATTATGCTGAGGCCCAAGCCAGGAGACAGTTGTGGAAACCAACATGGGGATGATGATGGCCTCGGTAGTTCTATTGTGTTTGGTGCTGGAGAACTCCAAGTCCAGGTGGCCATCTTGGGGTACACAACTATGTGGATGTGCTGCTCCATCTAATTCCCCAGTGTTATCCTTATAACTTGGCCTTTTTCCAAGGCTGGGTCACTTTAGCAGCCCCTTGCTTAGCACCCAATCTCTCTTTGTGTCTTTCAGTGGAAAGTTCTACTCAGTGAAAAGTTCTCTCTTTGTGTCTTTCAGTGGAAAGTTCTGCTCAGGCATGCATCATCATAGGTGAGTGCATAGTTGCAATTGGTTGTCATGACCCAGGATCACAAGTCACTGAGGGTCATCATAACAATTAGGAGTTCTTGCTCAGGGTGAAAACTGAACCTTGTTCAATGTATGTAGTTTTTCCTCTCAAAACCTGGGTGAATCTGGAATAAAAAGAACTTTAAGAGTTCTCAGTCGGCTATTTGATGAGCCCCAAGTGCCTTGTCCATATGCAGGAAGAAGTGGGTTTTTTCCTACTCTACAGAAACATGAGAATCAGGCTTATTGAAGTTTAATAAAGTTTCTGTGACTCAAGTTGTGAATGGCTATGGCCTCTGCTGGGCATATTCTGAGGGCACAGGAAACTTATAATGATGGCAAAAAGCAAAGAGAGTCATCAGACGCATGGGGAGAGGGAGGACACAAGTCAGAAAAGGACAAAAAGGACATGGCATGCTTTCTTTTTTTGAAACTACCATCTCTCTTGAGAATTCAAGATGTAAGAAAACTCTAATTAATACCTGCTGGCAGAATTCCCCCATTGTGTACATTGGCCACTATACCCAGTTTTTGACACTGGAGACCACTTTCCAAGCTGAGATACTAAGGGCAGCACGTCCAAGCAGTATAACAAAGTACCCTTGTATGAACTTGGCTATGGCCCTCAGGGACCATTAGTCTTGAGCCTACTGGGCAGATTCCACAAGAGCAGGTATTTCATTTTATCATTTTGTGGAGAAATGCTTGTGTGAAGCAGCATACCTAGGGAAGTGCCATATGGCTTGTTGAAACACCCTGTCTTCCTCCTTTTCACACAGATCCTGGCTTCAGAGAATATCTTGGGAATAAGCTCAGCCTCTGGGACAAAGGATATCAGCCAAGTGCTTGGCCTCATGTCTGCCGAAAGTCAGATACTTTCCATAACTCTGGTCTCCTGTCTTGGCTTGTGTTGAGCATATGGGTGTCCGTGAAATAGTTGTGGGGAAGGTGGATGACTAACTTGGGTCAATGATGAGATATTTATATAGTCTGAAGAGAGGTGATGACTTAAAAAATCATGCTCAATAGAATTATACTTAGGTCCAAATTAGGTGACAATTGTGGAAACCAATGTGGGGATGATGATGGCCATGGCATGGCTATTGTTTTTGGGCTGGAGGACTCTAAGCCTAGGGAGACATTTTATGGTGCCGAACTCTGTGAATGCACTCCTCAAAGAAATTCCTCAATTTGATTATTATGTCTTGTACCCTTTCCCAAATCAGGGCACTTTAGCAACCCCTTCTTTAGCTCCCATTCTCTCTGTATCTTTCAATGGAATGTTCTACCCACTTTGTCTCCATGGCACACACCATCATAAGTGAGTGCATGACTGGGACAGGGAGTCATGACCCATCATTCATAAGTTACTGAGAGTCACTTAAGGAATGGGAGTTCTCAGTCATGGAGCCAAAATCATCCTTGACAAAATATGGGTAACTTTTCTCTCAAGACCTGGGTGAGGCTGGAGAAAACAGTGCCTTGTAATGCTCTCAGCCTGCTGTTAGATGAGCCCCATGTGTCTCCTCCAAACTCAGGGAGAAGTGAGTTTTGTTGAGCATGACTGGAACTAGACAGTCAGGCTCATGGAAACATACTACAGGTTTCCTTGGCTCAATTTGTGCTTGGCCATGGCCGCAGTTGGTCATCTTCTGAGGTCTCAGGTAGTGTGGAATGGTGACACAAAGAAAGGAGAGTCTGCCAAGCCATGTTGAGAGGGGACACAAAAGTCAGACAAAGATGTGCCATCCTCTTTTGAAATCAGCATCTATTTTGAGAACTCAAGAAGAGAGAACTCACTGATTACAAGAGGCTGGCGAGATCCCCCTCTCAAAGCGTTAGTCAAGAAACCCAATTTTTACACTGTGGACCACTTTCTAAATTGAGATAAGAGATGACATGCATACAAACTGTATCACCCTGAATCCTGTCTATGCTGAATTCTGTGGCTCCTGGTCCTGGGGGACCATCAGACTTTGCCTAAAATTACAGGTCCCACCTGAACAGGTATCTCAGGTATCTACCTGTTGTTTTGTGGAGGAAAGACTTGTGTGAGGCAGCATCCTTGTGGAAGTATCCCTTTTCTTGTTGACATGCCTTTTATGACTCCTTTACTCCTAGATTCTGGCCTGGGAGAAGGTCTTTGAAATAAGCTGCTGTCCAAGTTGCAAAAGGTTTCAACCAGATGCCTGGCCATCAATTCTCTGAAAACCAAATAATGTCCATAACACTGTTCCTTGCTGACTTCTAATGAGCATATGGTTGTCTATGAAAGGGATAATGGAAAGGTGAGGACTTTATATTGTCTTGAAAAGAGGTGATGATTTAATATTCAAGTACAATGGCATGATGCTGAGGTCCAGCCTAGGACAAGTTGTGGAAACTAAAAGGGGGATGATGATGGCCCCAGCAGTTCTATCGTGTTTGGTGCTGAAGAACTCCAAGTTCTGGAGGACATCATGGAGTGAACAACCACGTGGATGTGCTCCTCCATGAAATTGCCTAATGTTATCCTTATGCCTTGGCTCTCTTCCAGAGGCCAGGGCACTTTAGCAGCCCCTTGCTTATCATCCAATCTCTATTTGTGTCTTTCAGTGGAAGTTTCTTCTCACCCTGGCTGCATGACATGCACGATCATAGGTGAGTGCATGGCTGCAATTGGTTGTCATGACCCATGATTCACAAATCACTGAAGGTCATCCTAACAATTAGGAGGTCTTGGTCATGGAGACAGACTGAACCTTGACCAATGAATTTAGTTTTTCTCTCAAGATCTGAGTGAAACTGGACAAAAGTAAGCTTTGAGATTCTCTTGACCTGCTGTTCGATGAACCCAAGTGCCTTGTCCAAATGCAAGGAGAAGTGGGTTTTGTCCTGCTCTACAGAAACAAGAGATCAGGCTCATTGAAACATAATAAAGCTTTCTGTGGCTCAAGTTTTGAATGGCCATGACCTCTGCTGGCCATCTTCTGAAAATTCAACAACTTGAAATGGTGACACATAGCAAAGAGAGTTCGCCAGACCCATGGTGAGAAGGGGCACACAAGTCAGAAAAGGACGTGTCATGATTTTTTGAAGCCATCATCTCTCTTGAGAGCTCTAGTTGTGAGAACACATTCAGAGAAACCTACTATCAGAATTCTCCTATTACCAGCATTGGCCACGGAACTCTATTTTTGAACACTGGAGATCACTTCCCATCCTGAGATATTAAGGGAAGCACGTCCAAGGTGTATGAAAAGTACTGTGTCTGGACTTGGCTCCTGGCCCTGGGGAACCATCAGTTTTCAGATTGCTTGACAGATTCCACATAAGTAGGTATCTCATTTTATCATTTTGTGGAGGATAAGCTTATGTGAGGAAGCAACCCTATGGAAGTACCAGATGACTTTTTGGCATACCCTGTCTTCCACTTTTTAACAGATATCCCAGATTCAGAGGAGGTCTTGGGAATGACCTTCAGCCTCTGGGATAAAGTATGTCAGTCACCTGCCTGTCTTTATGTCTGTTGAAAGACAGATAATCTCCAGAAATCTGGTCTCTGGTGTTGACTTGGGGTGAGTACATGGGCATCCTTGAAATGGATGTGACTAAGGTGGATATCTAGGTTGGGTCAATGATGAGATGTTTATATTGTCTTAGGAGAGGGGATGACTGAAAAATCATACTCAATAGGATTACACAGAGGCCCAACTTAGGTGAATATTGTGGAAACTGACTTGGGAATAATGATGACCTTGTCATGACTATTGTCTTTGGGCTGGAGCACTCTAAGCCTAGGAGGCCATCATGGGGTGCCCAACCCTGTGGATGCACTCCTCCATGAGGTTTCCCAATCTGATAGTTATTACTACCCCTTTCCCAAAAGCACTTAAGCAACACCTCCCTTGACTCCCATTCTATCTTTGTGTCTTACAATGGAATGTCCTGGTCACCTTCACTCCATAGCATGCACCATCATAGGTGAGTGCATGGCTGAGATTGGAAGTCATGACCTGACCCATGATTCATAAGTTACTGAGAGCCACCTGAGGGATGGGAGTTCTCAATCATGGAGCCAAAGGTATCTCTGAACAAATATGGATACTTTTTCTGTCAAGTCCAGGCTGAGGCTGGAGAAAACAGAGCCTCGAGATGCTTTCACTCAGCTGTAAGATGAGATCCAACTTTCTCCTTTAAATTCAGGGAGAAGTGGATTTTGTCAATCGTGATAGAAACTGGACAGCCAGACTCATGAGAACATACTAAAGTTTTCTTTGGCTCATGTTGTGCATGGCCCCAGTTGAGCATCTTCTGAGGTCTCAGGTAGTGTGAAATGGTCACACAAAGACAGAATAGTGTGCTGAAGCCATGTTGAGAGGAGAAACAAAAGTCAGAAAAAGATATGCCACCTTATTTTTGAAATCAGCATCTCTCTTGAGAACTTTAGAAATGATAACTCTGATTACAAGAAACAGGCGAGATACCCCCATTTTAAACATTGGCCAAGAGACCCAATTTTTACACTACAGATCACTTTCCATTTTGAGATATGAGAGGACACACATCCAAAAGGTATTACCCTGAACCCTTTCTGTACTGTTTTTGGGGCTTCTGGTCCTGGGGAACCATCAGACTCACCTGAAAAAACAGGTCCACTGAACAGGTATCCCATCCGGTCATTTTGTGGGGGAAATCCTTGTATGAGGCAGCATCCCAAGTATCAGTTTTCTTGTTGGCACACCCTTTATGGCTCCTTTTCAAACAGGTCCTGTCCTGAGAGAAGGTCTTGGAAATAAACTGCTATCCCAGAGACAATGGGTTTTGACCAGGTGCCTTGCCACGAATTCTGTGAAAATGAAGTAATTTCCAGAATGCTGGTCCTGGTTGACTTCTGGTGAGAATGTAGCTGTCCATGAAAGGGATATAGGAATGGCTGATCTTTGCGTTGGGTCCATAATGAGGTCTTTATATTGTCTTGAAGAAAGTTGATCACTTAAAATTCATGTACAATGGCATGATGCTGAGGCCCAGGCTAGGAGATAGTTGTGGAAACCAACATGAGGATGATGATGGTCCTGGCAATTCTATCATGTTTGGTGCTAGAGAACTCCAATTCCCAGAGCCTATCTTGGGATGCATAACCATGTGGTTGTTCTACTCCATGGAATTGCCCAATGTTATTTTTTTTACCTAGGTCCTCAAACCGAGGCTGGAACACTAGAGCAGTCCCTTGCTTATCACCCAATCTCTCTTTGTGCCTTTCAGTGGAACATTCTGCTCAGCATGGCTGCATTGCATTCACCATCATAGGTGAGTGGATGGTTGCAATGGGTTATCATGACCCATGATTCACAAACCACTGAGTGTCATCATAATAATTAGAAGTTCTTGCTCATGGAGGGAAGCTGAACCTTGACCACTGCATGTAGTTTTTCTTTCAGGATGTGCATAAAGCTGAACTAAAAAGAGATTTGAGATGCTCTTGGTCTGCTGTTAAATAAGCCCCAATTTTCTTTTCTCAATGCAGGGAGAAGTGGGTTTTGTTCTGCTGTACAGAAAAAAGAGAATCAGGCTCATGAAACATAATAAAGGTTTCTGTGGCTCAAGCTCTGAATGGTCATGACCTCTGCTGGGCATCTTCTGAAAATTCATGGTGCTGGAATGGTGGTAAATAGCAGAGAGAGTTTGCTGGACCCATGGTGAGGGAGGGCACACAAGTCGGAAAAGGATGTGACTTGCTTTTTTGAAACGACCATATCTCTTGGGAACTCAAGGTGTGAGAACACACTCATTATAACCTGCTGGCAGAATTCCCTCATTACCAACTTGGCCACAAAAACCCATTTTTTTGGCACTGGAGATCACTTTCCAACTTGAGATGTTTATCCTCTAAACTCATGGAGAAGTGGTTTTTGTTGAGCGTGCCAGAAGCTGGACAACCAGACTCATAGAAGCATACCAAAGGTTTCTATGGCTCAATTGTGCATGGCCATGACCTCAGCTGGGCATTTTCTGAGGTCTCAGGGAGTGTGGAATGGTAACCCAAAGTCAGAAGAGTGTGCTGAAGCCATGTTGAGAGGGTACACTAAGGTCAGAAAAAGATGTGCCATTCTCTTTTGAAATCGGCATCTTTCTTGAGAACTCAAGAAGTGAGAACTCGCTGATTACAAGCCACAGCCAAGATTCCCCCATTCCAAACATTGTACAAGAAACCTAATATTCACATTGCAGCCCATTTTCCCAATTGAGATATGAGAGGACTTACATCCATGATGTATCACCCTGAACCTCTTCTGTGCTATATTCTGTGGCTCTTGGTTCTGAGGGACCATCAGATTTTTGCCTGATGAGACACTTGAACAGATATCTCATCCAGGTGTTTTGTGGAGGAAATGCTTGTGTTTCCTTATGGAAGTATGAGTTTATTTGTTGACACGCCCTTTATGACTGTTTTTCTCCCAGTCCCTGACCAGAAAGAATGTCTTGAAAATAAGCTACTGTCCTAGCAACAGAGGGATTCAACCAGGTGCCTGGCCACAAATCCTCTGAAAATCAAATAACCTCCAAAAGGCTGGTCCTGATTGACTTCTGGTGAGCATATGCCTGTCCATGAGAGGGATTGAAAGGGATATGGGAAAGATGGATCCTTATGTTGAGTCAATGATGAAGACTTTATATTGTGTTGAAGAGAGGTGATGACTTAAAATTCATGTACAATGGCATGATGCTGAGGCCCAGGCTAGGAGGCAGCTGTGGAAACCAACATGACCATGTCAGTTCAATCCTGTTTGGTACTGGAGAACTCCAAGTCCTGGAGGAGATCTTGGGGTGCACAAGCATATAGATGTGCTCCTCCATGAAATTGCCCAATGTTCTCCTTATACCTTGGCCATCTTCCCAAAGCCAGGGCACTTTAGCAGTCCCTTGCTTAATATCAATTCTCTTTGTCTTTCACTGGAAAGTTCAGCTCACCCTGGCTGCATGATATGCACCAACATAGGTGACTTCATGGCTGCAATTTGTTGTCATGACCTATGATTCACAAGTCACTGAGGGTCATCATAAAAATTAGGAGTTCTTGCTCATGGAGGCAAGCTGAACTTTGACCAATGCATGGAGTTTTTCTCTCAATACCTGTGTGAAGCTGAACAAAAAAGAACTTTGAGATGCTCTTGACCTGCTGTTGGATGAGCCCCAAGTGACTTGTCCAAATGCAGGGAGAAGTGAGTTTTGTTTTGCTCTACAGAAACAAGAGAATCAGGCTTATTGAAATATAATAAAGGTAACTGTGGCTCAAGTTGTGAATGGCAATGGCCTCTGATGGGTATCTTCTGAAAATTCAGGGTACTTGGAATGGTGACATATAGGAAAGAGAGTTATCTGCTTCCATAGTGAGAGGGGGTACACAAATGAGAAACAGACGTGACATGCTTTTTTGAAACCAGCATCTCTCTTGAGATCTCAAGATGTGGACACACACTCATTAAAACCTGCTGGAAGAATTCCACCATTTCCAACACTGGCCACGAAACCCATTTTTTAAAACACTGGAGACCTCTTTCCAACCTGAGATAGAAAGGGAGACTGTCCAAACTATATCAAAAGCACCCTGTCTGGACTTGGCTGCCTACTCTGGGGTAATATCAGGTTTCAGCCTACAGGACAGATTCCACATGAGCAGGTATCTCATTTTGTCATTTTGTGGAGGAAACGCTTGTGTCAGGCCACATCCTTAGAGAAGTGACAGATGGCGTGTTGACATACCCTTTCTTCCTCCTTTTAACAGAGATCCTGTCTTCATAGAAGTCTTAGGAATAAGTTTAAGCCTCTGGGACAAAGGATGTAAGTCAGATGCCTGGCCTCGTGTCTGCAAAATATCAGATAATCTCCAGAAATATGATCTCTGGTGTTGACTTGTGATGAGCATATGGGTGTATTTGACATGGATAAAGTGAAAGTGGATTCCTCGCTTGGGTCAATGATGAGACCTTTATATTGTCTGAGGAGAGGTGATGACTTAAATATCATGCTCAACAGGATTACACTGATGCCCAACTTGGGTGACAATTGTGCAAAACAGCATAGGCCTGATGATGGCCATGGCATGGCTTTTCTCCTGGAGCACACTAAGCTTTGGAGACCATCCAAGGGTGCCCAACCCTTTGGATGCACTCCTCCATGATATTGCCCATTTTGACCGTAATGTCTTCACGCCTTTTCCTAAAGCAGGGCACTTTAGCAACCCCTTTTTTAGCTCCCACTCTCTCTTTATGCCTTCCAGTGAAATGTTCTGCCCACATTGTCTCCATGACAAGCACCATCATAGGTGAGTGCTTGACTGGGATTGGGAGTCATGACCATCATCATAAGTTACTGAGGGCCAATTGAGGGATGGGAGCTTTCATTCACGGAGTCAAACTGATTCCTAACCAAATATGGGTACCTAGATTCTCGAGACCCGTATGAGACTGGAGAAAACAGATCCTTAAGATGCTATTAGTCTGTTGTTAGATGAGGTACAAGTGTCTCCTCTAAACTCAGGGAGAAGTGGTTTTTTTCAATCATGACAGAAACTGGACAGCTAGGCTAATGAAACATACTAAAGATTTCTTTGGCTCAACTTGGGCTTGGCCATGTCCTCAGCTGAGTATCTTCTGAGGTCTCAGGGAGAGTGGAATGGTGGCACAGAGAAAGAATAGTCTGCTGGAGCCATGTTTCTTGGAGACACAAAAGTCAGAAAAAGATGTGCCATCCACTTTTGAAATAAGTATCTCTCTTGAGAACTCAAGAAGTGAAAACTCACTGATTACAAGCAGCAGTTGAGATGTCCCCATTCCAAAAATTTGCCAAGTAACCCAGTTTTTAGACTGTGGACCACTTTCCAAGTTGAGATATGAGAGGACATGCACCCAAAATGTATCATTCTGAACCATGTCTGTGCTGTGTTCTGTGGCTCCGGGTCTGGGGGACATCAGACTTTGCCTGAAAACACAGGTCCCACAGAAACAGGTATCTCATCTGGTCGTTTTGTGGAGGGAAGGTTTGTGTGAGGCTGCATCCCAGTGGAAGTATCAGTTTTCTTGTTGATATGCCCTTTACGGCTCTTTTTCTCTCAATAGGTGGCCTGGGAGAAGGTCTTGAAAATAAGCTGCTATCCCAGCAACAAAAGGCTACAACTGGGTGCCTGGCCACGAATACTCTGAAAATCAAATGCTTTTCAGAACGCTGGTCCTGGCTCACTAGTGGTGAGCTTTGCTTTCCTGGAAAGGGATATGGGGATGGCAATTCTTGTGTGTGTCAATCATGAGGAATTTATATTGCCTTGAGGAGAGGTGATGACTTAAATATCATGTACAATGGCATGACGCTGAAGCCCAGGCAAGGAGACAGTTGGTGAAACCACCATGGGGAAGATGATGATCCTGGCAGTTCTATCATATTTGATGATGGAGAACTCCAAGTCCAGGAGGCATTCTTAGGGAGCACAACCATATGGATGTTCTCCTCCATAAAACTGCCCTATGTTATCCTTATACCTTGACACTCTTCCTGAGGCTGGGGCACTTAGTAGTCCCTTGCTGAGCACCCAATCTCTCTTTGTGTCTTTCAGTGGAAACTTCTGCTCAGGGTGGCTGCATGGCATGCACCATCATAGGGGAGTGCATGGCTGTGATTGGTTGTCATGATCAATGAATAATAAGTCTCTGAGTGTCATCGTAACATGTGTAGTTCTTGCTCATGGAGGCAAATTGGATCTTGACCAGTGCCTGTAGTATTTCCCCTAAGATCTACATGAAGCCAGACAAAAAAGAGCTTCAATATGCTTTTGACCTGCTGTTCGATGAGCCCCAAGTGCCTTTTCCAAATGCAGAGAGAAGTGAGTTTTGTCCTGCTCCTCAGAAACAAGAGAATCAGGATCATTGAATCATGGTAAAAAGTTTCTGTGGCTCATGAATGGCCATGTCCACTGCTGTGTATCTTCTGAGGACTAAGATTGCTTGAAATGGTGGCACAGAGTAAAGAGAGTCCACCAGATTCATGGTGAGAGGGGGCATATGAGTATAAAATGATGTGCCATGCTTTTTTGAAACCACCATCTTTCTTGAGAATTCAAGATGTGAGAATACACTCATTAAAACCTGGTGACAAAATTCCCCCATTATAAACATTGGCCATGAAACCCAATTTTGGCACTGGAGATCACTTTCCAACCTGAGATATGAAGGGAAGCATGACCGAGCTGTATCAAAAGTAAACTGTTTGGACTTGCCCCCTGGCACTGGGATACTATCAGTCACAGCCTACAGGATGGATTCCACATGAGCAGGTATCTCATTTCACCATTTTTTGGAGGAAATGTTTGTGTGAGGCACCAAGGGAGGTGTCTAGAGGCTTCTTGACAGATCCTGTCTTCCTTCTTTTCAGAGACCTTTTCTTCAGAGAAGGTGTTGGAAATAACCTTTAGGCTCTGGGACAAAGGATGTCAGCCAGGTGCCTGGCCTCATGCCCACTGAAAGTCAGATAGTCTCCAGAAATCTGGTCTTCTGTGTTGAATTGTGGTGAGCATATGGGTATCCTTGAAATGGATACAGTGAAGGTGGATGCC